TGACTAGAAGAGATGGTGTCAGTAATGAAGTTTAAATTTTCGAAAAAATAAATTTTAGGCAGGTTTGCATAAGGCTTTTGGAAACTTCCTAAAGGGAATCTACAACGCACGGCTTTCATTGTGATTAAAAAAAGGCGTATATGGAAACATTTATTAAACTTGGACGGACCCATTAGAAGAAACAAATTCGGTCTAGTTTTGTTAAATTATTTTCGAATATTATTTACAAATCACATTTCAAAAATATATATGTTTACGTAGGCTTTAAAAAGAAAGCGTTTTGTTGTCATAAAGACACTTAAGGGAAGAATTCAAAATTGCATGTTCTGAAGGGACCGTCGATTAGAAAAAAAATTGGAATTTTCGTATAATGTAAAAATGTCATATTACTAATACGCGACGAATGCAGTTAAGCCGATACACGTCCCTCTTTATGTAAACAAAGAGGTAGTACCACAATACCGCTAGAAAAAGAAGAGAGGATTCGTGTGTAACTAAATAGTGAGACACGGAGTACCAGAGTGATTCACCAAGCCGATGATTCAGGACCGGGAAAAGTGGTTTCGTAATACTTATTGGGCCAACGGTTTCTGTGTGCTTCGTTTACTTATTATGGAGCTTTTGAAGTTCAACTACCCAGACTAAAAACCTGTTTGCGCGCATCCCCGGTATATTTGAAACGTAATGACGCGATAAACGGGGCGTTACTTTCGTTTATTTAATTAATTATAAAGATAAATGTTATTCCCGCTTTTTATATTATGCGTTTTATTGCAATAGTCCGTCCGTTGGCCGTTAAATGTTCAAAATAACGCCGAAAATTCACAACCGTAGACGTAAATGCGTCCATATCTGTCGTTTTATTTATTTTTAAATTGCGCAATTTTAAAATAAAAATAGCTGTTATGTGTATTCACGGTGTCACGTCCCGTACGAAATGCAACAAGTTTTAGAACTGCATAATTTAATTTCATTTATCAGTCAACGGCACCGGGCGGTCTAACTAGCAGCGATAAAAAAAAAAAGATATAATATGGCCACGATTATATTTCCCAGTAATCGCTGGGCGTACTATTTATTATATTTCTGTGAACGCACTGATTTTGATTTAATTTGAATTAGTTATTTTGAACATGTATAAACGGAGCATATTAGGATATAAAATAATGGGCTGTCATCAAAGGATTGATTTCAACAGGATATTTTGCAGTCAATTTAATAAACGCCAAATTAATCAAGTGTTTGATTTGTTTCATCGATATTATAGAACTTCACAATAGCAAAAAGCAGTCGCAACGATAGATAAGACTAATCTAGCACAAAATTATCGTTCTACTGATGTTATCTTATGTACTAGTTAATATGTTCGTTTTACTTCAAATATAAAATGGGTGTATACATTTGATATTACACTTACCTTTAAAAATAATAATTTTTAAACTGGGATACATAATACTACCAGCCTTTTCCATACCAAGGTGTCTCTTGACAATTGAATAAATAGGGTATAGTAATAAATATCTATTGCACTGTCAATATTATGTGTAAATAATAAACTAAATGATATTAAAATTTGCCAAATACGTCAACATTAAATTATTTCTCACTTATGTTGCGCATGGATACAAGTAATAGTCATCCATATTTAGAATATAATTAAACCCAATAACGATGGTGTAAATGTTTGATTTTTGACGGAATCGACAATAAAAGGTAATATATGTACCTTTGTTAAAATGGCCTATATTACAGTTAGAGCATTGATGTAAAAAATAAAACGCAAAAAATAGGAATATATATAATTTTTGTAAGTTAATTATTTCTTTAATGACATTTTAAATATAAAAACCGAAATTATGAAACCAGCGATTTATATTTAAAGACTTGCTTTACATATTTCATTGACACTTAACATAGAAAATAAAGTTACACACATATATTTGAAAATAAAAATAATTAAATATATGATTTTAAAAAATTTATACAATTAGAAAATTAGAATATATTTGAAAAATTATTCACTAAATCTTTTATTTGGGGGTTATACTAAGGCTAAATAAGCGCCAGTGACTTTATCCGTTAACAAATTCCGAATTAAATTATTAAGTACTAATATTATTACTTTTTATAAAACATGTAAAATGAGAGAAAGATAACAGTCTCAAGAAATTATCCGACATTTGTAATTACTATGGACAAAAATAAACTTAACTGTAATACTTTTTACTCAACTTCTGGATTCCTCCTGCGTCGGTTTTTGCTGAGTCGAAATTGCTGACGTTTCGCCAATCATCCAGCAATTTCGACTCAACAAAAACCGACGCACTAGTAATCTAGAAGTTTTATAAAAATTATTATAGCGTGAAGTTTGAAGTGTGGAAGTTTCTTTGAAAAATACTAATATTATTATTCATAACCAACTCTGGCGTTCATGGTAGACAACTATTTGAATTTTTCCAAGCTTGAAACCACTGAGTTAACAGTACCTAGTGCAGAACAAATTTTGAAGGTATCTTAGTTATGGGGGTTTTCAGATGAATATTAATGACGTAGGCTGGCTGGCATATCATAATCAATGTTTTGGTTTTAGGGTAATGAATAATGTTATTGATTCTCCTTGCATTTTGTCATGTTTTAACTTTCATATTCCTCCCAGAGAATTGACAGTACGTGCGTTAGGTATTGTTAATTAAATTCTGTAGCATATAATATTTTCTATCATAAATTTGAGTCAACATGGGCGGTCTGGGCAAATTCCTTCGGAATTAGTGCATATAGATGATGGCTACGCACAAACGGGAATAATTCAAAACCTCCGCAATAGTGAGTCACGCGTAAAATATCCGAGACAAAAGAAAATGTAGTGAGCCCAATAATACCCCAGGTAAAATATAGGGTGATCGCATTGGCACGTCATTTATTTGTTTTTCATTTCGTACACTTGTATTTTTTTAAACGATAACCGATAAGCGTAAATTACAGCGAATAAATAAATATATGACGCGTTCAATTAGAATATGAGAAGCGAAATCGACGGGACAATAATTTATTCTACGAGTATCAAAACCGAACGTTAAATTTTAGAAAAATATAATAAACTAAACAAGTCGGTGAGATTTTATCGATGCTGATACCAATAAAAATCGTGTTACGTATCTATATTTGGATCGCCATAAAATATTTAAGCGTCGTTGCACCCAAAGTGGACTACCCTGTACATAAAAAGCATCAGGTGGGACACGATTAACTCCTAGAAGGGCATCAACCTCCGGGCCGTTTTAAGCCTTAAAAACTCCGCTATAAGTTTTCAATTACGAACGGGCATAACCCATTGCTTCGATCTTTGTCCCACGTAAAGACGAATGATTATTTATTTTACCAAAGTCACTCACCCCCCCCGTTCACGCAACTGACGAACTTTATTTGTTATTCGAAAGCAGTTTCTTCCAGTGCCATGCTCTAGCGTTCTTGAACGGGGGTTGAAACTATAATGTGCTCCTCTTTTTTTCGGATTTTTGTCAAAAGTATTAGTTAACGTGTCTTCCGATGTAATTGATAATTCTAATTCAATTGGGGCTATATTCTACACAAGCTTTGTGAAATAAAATCACACAAATATCACTGAATTTGCTCTGCATACTTGAAAAACAGATTGGACTGTCGTCCTTCAGTTTATTTGAAATTATTATGGTATGTTATACTCTTAGGCTCTAATGGTTCAGCACGGTATCAGGTAAAAGCAACGGTAAACCTAAAATACAACAGTGATAACCAATCCCAGGTTAATAAGACACGTAAATATCATCGAACTCCTGGATTATCTTAGACATTGATGCCCGTGACTCGCTGAAAGATGCCTATATAGTCAGAAGTTTATTATCATCATTACGTCCAATGTACGCTGCGATTGTTGTTTATTAAGTAGTTGTAATGGTAAAACGTTTAGCATATAATTTGTCGCCATCTTCGTATATACAGCTACATTTTTCTAGGGTGGGTGTAAACTAACATAATATTATCATAAATAAAACCAGTTTACAAATACGGATCTTACGAATTTAAAAATAGTAATCGTAACCAGTCATCTAACGCTTTGAGGTAAATACTAATAAAAGCAAATAAGTATAACCTCTACTCAATCGGTTTTACTCAATTATGTTAAGGTTGCACAAATTTGCGCCACATAGAGCTAAAGCACAGTCTGTAAATATGCGATTGGCATAAAATAACGGAATTCACATACCAAAGAATTAAACCGAATTTTAATAAAACTATAAATAGGTGTAAGCATGTGAGTCACATTGTTTCACAACGTTCATATACTAAACTTTATTAAAATATCCGAAGATAACAAAACGCGAAATATTATAGACGGGGTTTTAAGTACATTTTTATTTATCTTCATTTATGCCTCTTTGCAATTCATTATAACCTTTGGGCTGATAACGAATGATATTGCATTTTGTTTACCTTATTTTACCTTACTTTACTTTAGAGTAAAAATCTATTAGCGATTTTCAGCAAAAATATTTATATTTTGTAATTTTTTTTTTACTCTATGTGTTGATATGTACATCTATGGAATTTGAGAACATTTATTACGGGTTATTTTTTTTCATTAGATAGGTGCTGGAAATAAAAAATTTCAAAGTGCGCAAATTTTAGAAATATAGTCCTTGGTACAGTAATCGCAACTGTTTCATTGTATTGTGTGTTTTATTATTTTTTAAATATTAATTTTTTACATAATTAAATTTTTTTGTAATTACTAAACACGAAACATTAGAATTTATCTGGGTAGCTATGGAATACAAAATTTAGCACCTACCAAAAAGTTCTGTATCTAACAACATTGTTGGTTAAATGTATAATTTTTCGATAATTATTGCCCAATTATTGTGCGCCTTAATGCAACAATTTACCTATACCAAGGAGAAAATTTATTTTGATTTTCTTATTGTGCTTTTTTAAAAAAGATTCTGATTGAAAAAAATTACCACAAATTGTCATACCAATTTACGTTTTCAATGAATTAATCGAATGTGGATATTTGTGGATATAAAATCCTTAGTAATTATTGAGCATCATTTTTGAAGTTTACAAAAAAAAATCCTTTGAAATCGAACTTTAACATATCAATTTTTCTATGCCAGGGGGCGAGGGAACATTTGAATGACCTTTTATGCATATTTTGATACTTTTTTAAAATTTTACTTTAAGTTACGTTGTAACAGACAAAATTGAATTTTATGACATGTTTTATTTCGAAAAGGACAGAACATTTTTATTTGGTTCAATGTTACCTATTTGAACATCTACATCTTTATACATTTTGCACATCCTTTTTTTCAACCACACGTTTAAATTTTAAAAGTGTAAATTAGGAGAACATTTTAATGCTACCTATTTTATTTTATACGTTTTTATTCACATTTTTAAGCACGCGTTCACATTTCATTAGTTGAATTACAAAATAAAATAAATAAAAATAATTTTGCTAAGTGCTTGGGAAGGAGACATTTTGCAGTGATTTTTTGTTACCTTTTTCAAAATAAAGTTTTTTGTGTGTTTTTCAAATTCCATCTATTAGATATTTATATTTCAGTCGGTACATTACATTTTTTTTAAATATAAAGTGTAGAGGAGAGACATTTTGATGTGGTTTTATTTTACTTATTTTTAAGACACACATTTTGGTATTTTCGAAATGCTATTTTACTATATACGTTTACATTTGAGTCGAGAGGGGAGAGAACATTTTAATGCGGTTTTATGCATACATTGATACATTTTTATTCACAAAAATGTAAAAATATTAGGCACATTATAATTTGTTTTAATATTAAGTCAAGAGGTGAGACATTTTGATGAGATTGTATGTTATTTATTTTTAAAGGACATTTTTGTGTGTTTTTCAACTGCACGTTCACATTTGATCAGGCACTTTAAAAATATATATATTTTTAAATGTCCGAAGTCAATAGGACGGAGAAGAATTGGATGTGGTATAATATTACCTATTTTAATATATATATTTTTGTGGGTTATTGAAATTCCTTTATTTTAAACCACACGGTCGCATTGGAGTAGGTAAATTAGAAAAAAATTAAAAATATAATTTTCCTGAGCCAAGAGGAGAGAAACATTCTGTGCTACTTATAGGAAAATATACATTACTGTTAAAAAATACTGGGAAAAAAAATTCAGAAGAGAGTGACCATTTTGATATTCATACATTTTTTAAAAAGCAAGAGTTTACATTAGATTTTTTTTAATCTTAAGGCAAGGAGAGAGAAACATGACATGATCTCATGTTACTTATTTTGAAACATATTTTAGCGTGTCTTTGACATGATACTTTTTTTTCGTACCCAAGTACTTATTAAAAAAATCATAAGTCAGGAGAACTTTTTGATATTTTTGAAGGTTTCCTATTTTAATATATATATTTTTGTGGGTTATTCAAATTCTTTTATTTTAAACCGCACGGTCCCATTTGAATAGGTAAATTAGAAAAAAAATTAAAATATAATTTTTCTAAGCCAAGAGGAGAGAAACATTGAGTGTTACCTATTAGAAAATATACATTACAGTTAAAAAAAATCTAAGTGAATAGGTAAGAAACATATTTTTTGTGTTTTTGAAAGTCTGTTTTTTCCAGCACACGTTCTCCTATAAACAAATTTTTAAAATTTCAGACGAGAGTGAACATTTTGATATTTACGCATTTTTAAAAAATCAAGAGTTTACATTGGATTTTTTTTTAAATCCTAAGGCAAGTGGAGAGAAACATGATATGATCTTATGTTGTTTATGTGTTTATGTGTGTTTGACAAGATACTTTTTTCGACCCCAAGTACTTATTAAAAAAATCATGTCAGGAGAACTTTTTGATACTTTTGAAGGTTGCCTATTTTAATATATATATTTTTGTGGGTTATTGAAATTCCTTTATTTTAAACCACACGGTCGCATTGGAGTAGGTAAATTAGAAAAAAATTAAAAATATAATTTTCCTGAGCCAAGAGGAGAGAAACATTGTGTGTTGCCCATAGAAAAATATACATTACAGTTAAAAAATACTAAGTGAATAGGAAAGAAAGATATTTTTCGTGTTTCTGAAATTCTCTTTTTTCCAACACACGTTCATCTAAAAATAAATTTTTAAAATTTCAGAAGAGAGTGAACATTTTGATATTCATACATTTTTAAAAAATCAATCAATAGATTTTTTTTAATCATAAGGCCAGGGGAGAGAAACATGATATGATTTTATTTTACTTGTTTTAAAACACATTTTTGCGTGTTTTTGATATAATACTTTTTTTTCGACCCCAAATACTTATTAAAAAAATCATAAGTCAAGAGAACTCTTTGATATTTTTTAAGGTTGGCTATTTTAATATAATTTCTGAGAGTTTTTTTTTGGGTAATAGCATGTTGACACCGAGGTGCGAAAAGTATGCTTCGAAAATTCGACGAGAAAAAAAAACACCCGTTGCCAACTTACCTACCCGATCCCCTCCCGAAAATATCAATCGCCCTTACGTTAGATCCTTAACGAAATAACAAAGGTATAGAATTTCTAAATATATTTGGCCAATATTTCGCTGAGTTTTTGGTGGACACGCCTTTGCCCGGCTGCGATTGGCTACCGCACGAAAAACGCGTTTCACCCTAATACTAACGTGCGTTTGAAACGCGAGTCGCCTGCTATGCGTTCGCGGGGTAACATTAAGTAAAGCGTGAGACTGGAAACTGAGCTTCGACAGTCGCTTTAGTTGGCGGGCGATACGAGGTTTACCAGTCAAAGCGCTCTGACAGCTCGAGGTGTGCGGACGTATACACAATCTGCTCCGAGGTTTTTAGAGTGCGCGTTTGTTATCCTCACACACGCGTGTTCGAACTTGTGCGAGACCAGTGTTCCGAGACGACCAATTTATCATTCTGTGATTTTCGAGTTTCAATTTCTTTTTTTTTTTTTGAAATAATTGAAAATTTAAAATGGCAGTGCCGTTTCACATACCCGAAGACCAAAACGAAGTGGAAGTGATCCTGATCCAACTTCAGACTCTTCTGAACAGACTCCAGATCGCGGTACGGCAAAATAGACAGTCGTCGACGCCATCGACGCCGTCGACCGCTAACAGAGGTGAGTCCGCCGTTATTTTTCGTTTTTTCTGAAACAAATAGAAAAAATATCACGACAGTTTTTGACCTGTTGCTGCGGCGTGGGTTCACGGCCGCTACGCACAGTTTGCTCGCCCAAAGCGGGTGAAATTTCGTCGCGCATCATTTTCAAAACAAAAACGTCAAGGACGCCGTATCGGCGGCGGGAAAAAAATTAAGTTGATTGACCTCGCCTTTTAATATACAACGACGGCGACGTGCGAATCGATCGATTCGTCACCGCAGCGCATCCCCCCTGCCCCGCTGTTTTTTGTTTGTTCTTTTGATTTTTTCGTCGACTTTACTTTCTCAATTAATTTTAGACTAATAACTAAAAGTGTTAAATTAAGTAACGACTGCCTAGAAAATTTAAATCGGTCATTTTCCTCTACTAAATTTTTTTTTAACGTGGTGCTTCAAATTTATTAAGAATTTTCTATTAGCTTTTGTGGTGTTTAAATTGTATGTGAAAATTGACGGGTTATAATGTCACAAGTACTAAAAAATATGTATAAAAAAATGCCATAAATGACAAATAAATAAATATTTTCGAATTTATGAACATTTTTAAACGTTGTTCTAGCGTTCGATATTTGAAGATAAAAGTTAACGATTTTCGATAGTAATTAGCGTCAGGCCGATTTTTCACCGCGTGAAATTGCCTTGACAAATAAATTAAATATTTATTAGGAAATACCATCAGTTTATGATGATATCGAAATACAATTTAAGATACGTCAACAAGCATGTAATGCGGAAATTAACGAGTTTGGATCGTAATTACCGTCGGGTGAATTTTCCACCGTACGAAATTGCCTCGAAATAAATTAAATATTAAAAAAATATTTATTAGGAATTACCATCGATTTATGATGATGTCGAGACAATCAACCAATGTTTTAACAGTTTTAAACTTAATTAATCAATAATGTTGAAGTAAAAACGTGTAATATTTTTTTAAATGCCAATAAGAAATTCTGCCATGAACAACGAGAGAGAAATTGCATTTGACATGAAGAAGGGCGAAGATTTGAGTTTGGCCAAACCCGGGCCGATTTTTTAAAACGAATATGATAATTGTGAAACGAAAACCTTTTACAAAGTGGCCTTGTAAATTGTAAGCAATCAATACGCGCGGTTGTTAATCAAACAGCTGTGTTTACTACTGTAATACAGTAGTGTTCGTGTCAAGTGCCTCCGGCTATTCAAGTATGCAAAACCCGATTCGAGTCCGCTGTTCCATATTTTCAACCCGTAAACGCTTTATATATTATATATAATATTTTCTATAACAGCGGCTGGTATAACCAAGGTTATTTATATCGAAATCAGTGGGATAAATATTTTTAACCAATTGCTTCTATTATCGCAGCTCGTATCGCGACCCCGAACAGAGTACGAGTTCGTGATCCATCATCAGGTGCGTCGACTTCTACTGCCCCGAACGCACCCCACAACTTACTGCCCGATCTCCTAAACAATCTCGCCCGACTGGCATCAGCCAACGGTAACGTTGCCTCTTTAACTGCCATACCCGCAAACGCAAACCGATCTCTAAGAAGAAGAACGAATTCGGAATCGTCAAATTGCGACGAAACCAAGATCTCCATTACGGCCATTGTTAAACACGGTCACATCCAAGACTGGAATCAGGTTGGTGTTACACTGAGAAAAATTGCAGACGACTTCGCGACGACTATATTAACCCAGGTGGGTGTGTGCTGTGTTATGGCTATCGCACCCACTGCCCGCATGTGTTGCATGTCGTTTTGATTTTTTTTTTCGAAATTTACTAACATCTCCGGTGATTTTGTCGACCCGAGATATATATTTAACAGGACTCGGTCGCAAAATTATGGTCTTCCTAGATCTACGTTTAGTTGCGCATTAAATTATCCACATCGAACGCTATACTTTACAAGAATTTCTCTTCTCCTTAATCGTCAAACTTTCAGGGTACCAAAAAAGTTGACAAATTTGGTTAAGATACAGTTAAAATACATTTAATTTGTATTTATTTGAAATTATCGTGACCGTTAGAAATTAATAAGCACCTAAAATCAACCAAAGAAGAAAATATATTTACATAAGCATTTGTGTATAGGCATAAAATCATCATATTTTAAGTTGTATAATTTTCAACATCGCAGGTGACACAAAAAATAAAAATAATATAAAATACTAAAATATAATAATAATAATATAACGTATATAAATAATACAAAATTCGCCGATACTCTAAGTATTGATTTTAGCAAATATCCCTATCCTAACAATTTTCGACCCTTGAAATGAAAACACTTAACACTGTTAAATTTTCAAATAAAAACTTAAAAACTGGCGAGGATATCAAGGCATACATAACCTTGGGTTAAAACGGTGTATGTAAAAAAAGCGCCATATAATAAATACTATTATACACATTATGCACATTTTACTCAAAGCTAGAACGAATTGTTACGTGTATAATATGTGCTATAGGTTCTAATTCTTCACGCTGTCCGAAATTGATATCATCTAATCAGAATGGTCAAATAAGTACTGCAAATCTTTGCATCGTTTTTTTTTTGCCAGTCACCGAGGAAACCAATTATGCAACTCATGACATAGTCGTATGCAAAAGCTATAAACTAATTAAAATGTTGTCTTCCTTGTTGTATACAATTAAGATGAACAAACGAGATAAACCGTGGCGAATAATTTTAATAAACAATTGTCACTCAGCTGATCGCCGTTGTAAAAGCAATATGGCGTTGCTCGGTCGGTAAAAGTCGCGAATTAACTCGTATCAGGGAAAACTACTGAATGGTGTTATTTACAAAGCTAATAAAACAACGTAGTGCAATCAAAAATATAGTTCGGATATTTTCTTACATTCTTTGAGCACGATTGCGAAATGCACTTCTTATTCAACTGCGTCGTACTATTTATTAAAAGACAATTGTTCACTATATGCATTTTTAACCTTGGACTACCGTTTCATAGATAATTATATTCTAATTATTGTTATTCCATTGTTTATATTACACGTTCGCGGGTTTTCTTTGTTGGATATGATGTTATCTAACGTTTTTTTTCTTTTAATCGCATTTTTTTCCATTATTATTATTGTTTTTTTAACACCGGCACAGGCTTTCTTTTTGTTTGGCGATTTAATAATAAAAATGCCAGATTTTGTAGCAGAGATGTGGATAATTCGTATGCACTTTTAAAATTTCGATATGTAATTTATTTTAACTTAAATACGTTTGATTTGTCCGCAGGTTGACGTGATTGAACGGAAAAACCTGGAATCGGAGAGCATCTTGTCCAAATTAATGCCGACAGTGTCATCGTGCTCGCTGATGACCGCCATGATATGTTTTGTAGGCTGGCACATATTTCGATAAAGCTTTTGTGAGACGAATCAAAATTTCGTAAGGCACACTTGCACACATTAATCCAAAGCCTAAGTGATCGAAACATTAAATAGTTTAGAATTTTCGCATCATATATTACGTTTTTTTGCTTTTATGTTGTTTTCTTTATATATTATACTTTCGGTATGTTCTTATTTCAATATTATAGTATTCTATAACATAAATATACTGAGTGTTAGGTGTACATTAGGGGGTTCATAGTAAATAAATACTTTCCAAGTAATAACACTGGTGATTGCATGCAGCTCTTAGAGCAAGTTTATTCCTTGGAAACTGTTTCTCTTTTCTAATAATAATGATGTACGCAGGTCATTTGTGCAAATAATTGCGTTGGTTCCAAAGAAAGAAAAATAAATCAAAGCGTTTGATCTCATTCGGTTAGGCCCGAGCCGAATTTAAAGGCTGGTCCACACTCAGGAATTTTGTATTGTATTTAAGTGAAATTTTTGTTCGCTTCATCTCACTGTATTTGGCTTCGGTAAAACGGCGAGACGCAAATTGCTTTTTTGACTGAAATTGATCTATTTTAACCATCGATTCTGGTTTGTCTTAGCGAGATCAGGCTAATCTAGAAGAAAAACACTTAGTGGGAGTCGGATATTGAGGTTGTAGATAAAAGTTCACGTTTTACCGAAGTAGTTGTAAATTACCTGTATATAAATGATTTTTTGTCCAAAAGTTAGATTCAGCAGAGCCAAAGAAAGACGTGACAAGTGCCAAATCGGCCGTTCTTTTGTGTAGTTTAGATGGAGCTCTTTGTCCAATCACTGTAGAAGTTCGCTTTTGCTAACGATGAGTCTGACTGTTTGTAATATGTATAAGAAAAATGGGAAACGGCGAAGTTTTTTGGGACTTTAGCTGCCCCATAAAGGTTTTCAAATGATCTCCGTAGTTAGATGAAGAGGTGCAGCCAGAGGGCTGGACGAGTTTGACAGCTCGCACCTTTTAGGATGATTTAAAAAACATGTACAATTGAAACAGACGCAAGTGTCAATTAAGTCGTCACTTTAACAACGCAGATAATTGTTAGCCGCGCGTGTAACATTTTTAAACCATCCTGTCAATTTGTACATAGTTCGAGGCTGGGTCTAATTAAATTTTGACCAATAGGCTATTTGGCAGTCACAACTTTTCTTATTAACCAAAAACATTCCTGAATGGCTAAATGTCTGATCGCGTTGATGTCTTTTATTATAAAATTTCTTGACGTATTTTTACACAGCGGTATTCATCGTTAATCGTAACGTAACCGTCTTAAATTTTAAACCAACTTGGTCCCCTAAAATTGTCGTTCGATGTTCCTTATAACGTCACTGAAGAAATATGTTTTAGTAGATGACAGGGATACTGCTAAATTATCCAATATCGTTTCCATAAGCCTGTCAAATAGCCTAATTGTTATTGAGGGACCCGACCTTCAAACATGCATGTTATATAGCTTTCTATACTTTTTTAGTGATATTAAGACACGTATATAAAATGCTGATATTTTTAAAAAATAAAGCAATTATATTTTAAGTTTTAGTAATAGTATTTTTTAAGATTGTAGCTCTTCAAAGCGCTCTGTGATCGAAGCCCAAATGGCAAATTTTAAATGTAAAGGGGACTACCAAAATCTTTTGGAACCTTTACATAATCTCCTGTTTCCATTGATCTCTGAAACATTTTTTAACAGAATGTTTATTTTGTTTGTAGTTTATGCCCCTAGTCAGTATAGTCGTTGTTTTTATAGGGTTGGCTAGGTTCTCTTTAGTTCTAAATGTATTGGTGTGTTACTGTTTACTGATTTTATCATATAATATAGATGTATTTTTGCCATTGCCATATGATTTCAAGTGCTGCTGTAGATGATACATGTTTATAATATTACCCGTACAGTTTTCGTTTCTTGGTCTGTCCTCGAAAAAAAGAATATTTTTGAAATGCGCTCGTTTTGACATTTGACAATCTATTGTTAAAATGAGCGTGCGTCAAAAAGCAAATGGAAGAATATTTACCTGACATGGACCAACGTTCTGATCATCCAGGCTCGTGATATTTATGCCAGAGGTGATCTTTATAACCAATTCAGTTTTAAGGGTTGCTTACATATTATTTAAAATATAATAAATGTCATACGTTTTATACATGTTTATTACATATATCTATATAATATATTTTTGTGATGTATGGAAAAAATACAAAAATAATTTCCTTTTGTTTTGTACGCTGCGTGTGGCCCAACAATGTCGCGCGCGGCCGTGTTTTTGACCCGTACACACATCTTCTACCAATGTCTTTCACATGTAACTTTTTCACTTTTATATACCTAGTTGATTTGAAATATATGTAAACATGCCGAAAGCAAAAAACCTTGTTTTATTCGACTGACCCCTTTCACTAAACAAAGCGCTATCATATTTGTGCAAGTCAATGTTTTCTCTGTCTCTCATATTCATTGAGATCAAAAATAATTGATTCGACGTGCTAAGTAAAAAACTCGTAAATCTTCAGCAAACAATACAGTTATTTGATTTGCTATTAATATTGCCCAGCTTGAACTTAAATGATATTTAATTTATTATATAATAATAAGTAATACTAAATTTAATCCGTACCTTAGGTATGAAATAAATGCGAAAAAATATAATATCCAACATGAATGTAAAAAAAACAACTAAAAGTGCAGAAACAATTATCGATATTTAAAGGTGAAAATAAGAATCTCATGCTAGCTACATTTCCGTACCACGAATTAACGAGTTTAACCTTATCCATGAAATTGAAAAAAAAAGCTTTTTTTCAGGCTTATCTGAAATCACTGAAGTTCCCAGGTTGCCGAAAGTCCTACGCCGACTCTATTTTAAAATAACAATAAACCAGATAGGCAATAATATAGGAAAAATATAAACACTATACGCAACAGATGTAGCTTCAAGTAATTTCTGTGCTTACACTTAAATGCACGCATGTTGGAACACGCGCCTTCGCGCCGATCTAGCTTCGAAATAATGTTAAATTAGGGCAAATCCATCTGCACTCCTCGTAGCGTAAATACAAGGATCGGCTTTCAGGCGAAAGAAAAAAACAGTTAAAATAACATTAAATAATACGAGGCAACGCAAACTAGGTTTGTTTATTTTTCCGTGAAACCACGTGCTACATAAGGAATCATAAATCTAAGGGCATTTCAAACACGTTGCCTGTCAACGTGAAAAGAAAAAACCGAATTTGTGGCAAAACCGTGTGTTTGTTTTCGTAACCCAAATGACTTCGAGGAACATGTCGACACTTCCAAATAATCGCTTGCACATTTTTCTATTACGGACAGTTGTCGGTTTTTTATCCCGTCTTGATGCCGTGCCTCCAGTCAAAAAATTAATAATAAAAAAATTGACATAAACGGACGTCGCAATTACCTATATAGGACTGACCTTTTAGGGATAAATTCCGGTGAGGAGGTAATAAATCATAAAAATTAATTTAGTTAAGTCGAACTAGCTAATGTTTCGCCAGTCATCCTGTTGGCTTCTTCAGAGCTTGACTGAAACTGGCTCGCATTTTACTCTGTGCCTGCTTATATATTGTTTGAGGGGGGCGGAGCTAAGTGAGGGGCATAAACACCGTCTCGAATGACTGATTCCCATATTGGTGAGTCGCGGTTAAGATTATTTTAGTTTTATCGAATAAAATTTTATGTCCGGTTTCGTGATCGTGTTCGGCAGCTGCTGATGAGTTTATTTGTCTTAGTCGTAAGGCTCTTTCGTGTTCTTTGAGTCTAGTTGATATTTTTTGTCCAGTCTCTCCATTATCTGGTTTTGACGTTATACTTCTTTAGAACTTTTGATATGTGGTCAGTGATGTTTTGAATATAAAGAAGAACAACAGCGGTAAGTGTGAGATTGCTTGCGCTTCCGTTGCTATTGGAAGGTTGTGGTGAAGTGTATTTTTCGATGGAACGCTTAATATCTTTAATGTGGAAATTATTAGAGAGAAGAGCAGAGGTAAGGTGTTTTAATTCTGGGTTCAATGACTCGGGCTGAGATAATTTTACGGCTCTGTAAACAAGACAGTTGATAACCAATGATTTTTGTGCCGGAGGGTGATGTGACAATGTATTAAGGTATCGGTCTGTGTGCGTAGGTTTTCTGTAAACACAGTGATGACCCAATGTTAGGTCTGATTTTCGATTGATAAGAATATCTAACAATGGGAGGTTGTTCTTAGTTTCTAATTTAATGACAAAAACGTATGTTAGGGCATTTAGAGTTTAAATGTCTAAGAAAATCTACTCGGGATTCCTGACCATGAGGCCAAATAACAAAAGTATCATCGACGTAGCGTTTTTTGGTTTTAGATGGAAGGGGTCGAGAGCTTTCTTCTCAAAGGCTTCCATAAATATATTCTCGATGACTGGTGATAGTGGAGAACCAATGAGAACGCCAACAAGATGATTGGCTAGTTCGAGTCAACAAAAACCGAGGCAAGAGGAATCCAGAAGTTTTATAAAAAGTATTATAGTAGCTTGTGGAAGTTTTTTTGAAAAATCTTTGATGATATTTTAATTAAAAAGTAACTTTAAATGAACACCGTCTTACCTGTATTTCTTAATAAAGTAAATTAATGTTTTCGAATAGATTTATTTAAACCGCCAAGTAACAATATTTAATTAATTAGAATTCGCACCGTCAGCTCTAATCATGCATTTTTATTGATTTGGCGTTATATTCACTTATCAATAGCTATTAAAGGGTGTTAAGTCGAATTTTCGGTTTATGAGTGAACCTTCAAAAGAGTTTTGAGTCACATCTATAGTTTTCTACTATATTATTTTCTTCCTATAACCAAAGAGTTTTAAAATAATTAAATGTCCAAATGTAAAGAAAGAAGTTTTGTAGTTTGTCCTGTTTTTGTAATGGCATTTTGTTGTTAAGATTTGCTTGTTTACGATTTTACTATTTTTTTATATACGCACTAAAACATTAGAAATCAATAAAAGCTATTCTTATTTTCCAATATATGTTGGTTGGTTTTGCTGGTTGCTCATTTTGATAGAAGTTCAAATGAAAATAATAAAAAAAAGTAAACGTTTTATATTTCCCAGAAGCGAAAATTCATGCTATTTTTCTATTTCTATTCAGCAGTAAGGCACAAAACACCGTATAAAGCCAACAAGGTATTAACTCCAAATAAAGACGAAAAAGCTGATTTTGCTTATATTTGTACCGAGAACCATTATTTTGTGTTTACATTTACATTAGATATCATTAACAAATAATTAGACACGGTCTTTCGCTAGTTACTATTGTTAAATAGGTAATTGGCGCACATATATCAATTTTAAAATTGCATTCCCGTAAAATGTGAAAAATGAGACCGATTTGCTGTTTGGCCCGACGATTGGTTTGTCCAACTAAATGAAATCATGGTGATATGTTGCCCAAGTATTTACGCGGCTAATTTTTAGTCGACGGCACTGGAAAAGAACGAACGGAGAATCCCGAGAACGACGACAAAGTTTTTAAGACGACATTGTTTGTAGTTTCAATTAAACTTCTGATTATTTTTAAAAAGCCACATTCGTATGAGGTCTGGGTTCCGCCTTTTATGTGGTTTATTATCTTTTCCGAGAACGCCCTTTGTTTTTTACTTTATTTTACGGGAATTTTCCGATAAGATAAAAACCCAATTCGACACATTCAGCGGCCAAATATCGTATCTCCTACCAAAGGCATACTTTGTTACATTTTCAAGGAAAATATTATTGCGTTGCACTCGGCGAAAATGGGAATTGCAAACTAAAGCGAATGACGATTTTCTATTAAGTTTCGCAAACCCAAAGCGAACCGATTTAATATAGGAAAACAGAAAACACTTGAGCTTTTATCGGAGAACGATCTAGCGTATTCGTTTCGGTCGATTTCATTGTATAATTTAAATACGGCGATTTGTGTTGATGAGACTTTTTATCGAAAAAATTAGGTTACAATTCGGGTTTCAAATCAAGTGGATAAAGTAACCAAAACTTAAAAAAAATTAAGTCACGAAAAAAAAAAATCAAATGGTCATCATTGCAATAAATAATATACAGGGTTATTCAAAAACAAATAGCAGATTGCAAACACTTATTTATTCCAAACGAGATAGAAACATGGTTTTAACGTTAATGGATAGCGAAAAGTGAGCATTCAATATGGGCACCACAGACGAATCAGCTGGTCTTTGGTTGAGGAACTCACTGCTTCATTAATTCGATGTCGTAGATCTTCAAGCGTGTCAGACATAGGAGGGATAAAAATAGGCTCTCTTATGTAACCCTGTGAATGAGATCTGGAGAACTGGGAGGCCGTCGATAAAGTTGATCTCTTGCTCCTTCTCTTCCTATCCAACGTCCTTGAACATTGGAAATTTTACCGTAGGAATAATAAATTTTACACTTTTCTTTATCCATTAACGGTTTTTAAATATTTTAAATATTTTAGAAGGCAACTATTTCATTTCAATAAAATAATGTTGTGGCATTTTACTTATTTGAATACACCTTAGTAAAAGGGAAATAGATGAGACTAACTTCTGGAACTAATGGTAATGGTACTTTCCATTTTTAAACGGAATGCTGACTGAAATTACCTCAACTTTTCCTGAATCTCAATGGTGAACCTTGAATTTTAAACGCCCTATGCGTGCTAAGAAATTCAGAGACGAATATTAATATCGACTATGAAAGTTGTAAAGATGCCCCCTTCCTCGTTTCTTTGAAAATCACCGACGCCGACATCTTAAAAGGAGTTTTGTAAATCGGCGAGACTGTTTATTCGAGGAAATAAACTTACGGGGGTTATCTTGCGAAAATCTTCCTTTCGTATTTTCCTTTTTCGCCGTTATTCGAAAGGGTTTTATTTGTTCATCCATCGGAAAACTCTCGATGGAAAATTAATCGGGTTGGTGAGCGCCCTTGACAATTTCGATCGAACAACTGGAAATATGTGTCTGGCAGAACACGACAATTCCATAAAGCAAATGAATTCACCTCTCTATGCATCTCGCACACACACACACTCACACACACACAACACCCCTACAGAACGCTGACCAACGGAGGCGGGAGAAAACCGACCGAAGGGAAAATAAAAAGATTAAAAGATGAGTAACTTAGAATTGAATGGCTGTTCACGCCGTACTACACCCGAACACGTGCCGACGACAGGAAATAGTAGGGGGTGGGGGCAAACTACAACGAACTAAAAAAAAACAATTGCATCCCGCTTTATTCCAGTATCGGCATATACACAGGGTGATTCACGCTGTGACGAAAGCCTTCCAACTTTGGTATCTATTAGGCCGCTACTCTGAGC